ATACCTAAACAGTGCTTTACTGTTTTTGTTTGAGACATAAATAAAGAATTTACTTACCGTGTCTGCTTCGAGGCCTGGAAGAATAGGACCTGCGGGGGCTACGTCTTGTGCTGCTGCTACTACTGCTGCTACTGTTATGGATGTTAGAACCTCTACGTTGACCATGTCGGATCCTCGGTCTGGTGGGGCAGGGACGAGGTAGCTCCGTTTCAACCGGTACAGTTGGAGGTGTTGGAGGTAACTCATTCACAGGCTCAGCCACAGCGATGGGTGTTGGCGCTCGAGGTTTGTTTTTGTGTTGGGGGGATGTGGTGAGAGTGTGAAATCAGAATCACTGACCAAGGCTCCTTACATCAAAGGGTACACATACAATACATTCTCTGTTTTCTTCAGAGACCAATCATCAATCAATTTTATTTTTTTTATTTACATAAACAAAAGTTAGATATCATATTAGGTCCGGCGTCCGACCGACACTCCTTCCTCCAGCCGCTCCGGGCGAAGCCTCCGCGACCTGGCCTCACCTCATCATCTCGCCGATCGTCACTCGGCTCCAAACATCTCGGAGTGGACGGTCATTCGCCTGAAGCGTGCCCTCACCCAGCGGGCCACTTCCGGGTTCACAGCCTCACACCCACGGCAGCGCCGCTGACGTCATCACGCATCCAGCCCAGCCTCCCTCACTAGCCCTCTGTTACGGCCACCTCTGTTATCTGGGTATGTGTACCTGTGTTGTGCAGCTGTGTCATGTTAAGCAGGATGTGTGACCCCTTGCCGAGGATTGGCTGGCGCGAGACCTGTCTACTTCCTGGTTCCAGCCGGTGATCTGATTGATGAGGCGTCTGGCAATCCCTCCAATCATCTACCGCCTTCCTCTATTTAAATAGCTGCCTACCTGTTGAACGGGCAGTTGTGATTTTGCCCTTGATCAACTCGCCTGTGTGTATTGTGCTCTACTGTTGTAAATGTGTTAACTTCTGTAGGAGCTTTAGTTTACAAGTATAAGATCTTACTGTCTCCTGTGTTGCCTTAATCTGTGAACTGTGGTAAGGAAACTGGGCAAGGATCTTAGTGGGGTTAACTGACACCAACCGGACACCTGTAGGTTAATTTGATGTTAGACACACTAGGTTTAGAGGGTGCTGCTTACTTTGTATTTTTGATTATTGATGACGGGTCAGAGTTTTGTTTAAATTTATTTTGAATTAGCTTGTGGTTATCTCTCATTTTGGAAAGACATCTTTAAGTTATATTTATTTCTTTAGGTTAAGCAGCATCCATCAGCTCTTTTCCCCTTCTTTTTGTAAACCCTGCAAATAAATAACTTGCAATTTTACCAAAAACATTCTGGTTCATGTTGCTTCCCTTTTCCCCACGAGCTGGGTCGTAACATAGGGCCAGGTCGTACTGAACCCAGATCCTGCATTTCTCGCTCCTAATAATCTTCTTCCTTACCCCAGACTTCCCAGACAACCCGAGCACATGCATCCCTTCATCCCAGCATCCTTTCTTCTTCTCTAATTCCTAACTCCCTTGTCCCTCCTGCTTCGGCTATAATTCCTACTCCGATTGCCTCAGCCACACAGTGTGCCCACAACAACGGTCCACGGCAACATTGTCAGCCAAAACCCATACTTTCCTCCTGTCTCCTATCCTAGCATCCCTTATTCTTCTCACATTCCTAACTTACCCTGTCCCACCTCCTCCGGCTACCATCGCCCCCTCCCCCCATTCCAACTTCAACCGCCTCAGCCACACAGAGCGCGCACACTACAATGGTCCTCGGCTACACTACCAGCCAAAACCCTTACTTTCCTCCTGCCCCATCACATCCCACCAAAACTTGCACCCTCACCGCTTCTTTGCCCTGAACCTCATATCATACTAACCACAACCCTGCCGTTTTCCACAACATGCCCCCAACATCCCCTCCTCCAACTTGATGAACAAATACAGACTCCCATCGTTCAGCTCCTAGATGACTTCCTTACAGTCACGCCATCCTCTTCTCCCCCGTCACACGGTCTTAATACCCTGATCTCCGCTTTCAACGAGCTCTGAGTCCCTCTCTTCCCAGAGAAAACTGAGGGCCCCAGCACATCCCTGGAATTCCTCAGCATTACTCTCAACTCTGTTTCACTCCAAGCATCCCTGCCCACCAAAAAAGTACACCGGATTCTTTAATCATTTCAAATTTCCTCCTGGCTCACAAATGCACCAAACATCAACTTCTCTCACTGCTTGGCCACCTGAACTACGCAATTCGCATCATCCCCCAAGGTCGATCCTTTTTGTCACACCTGCTTTCCATAGCCTCCTCCGTCCCATCGCTCCACGACAACATCACACTGGACAATGCATGCAAAATGGAGCTCAAACTATGGCACCAGTTCCTCTCATCTTGGAACGGCATCTCTTTCTTTTACGACACACACATCACTTCACCAGAAGACATCCAGCTATCCACAGACCCAGCTCCTTCAGTTGGCTTCGGCAGCTACTTTAGCAGAAAGTGGTTTTCAGCCAAATAGCCGCCCAAATTCTCTTCGCTCTCCCCTTCCTCTGCCATCTATGAAAATGTATCCAGTCATCATCGCAGCTATTCTTTGGTGCCACAAATGGTCAAATTAAAATCACCACCATCCACTACGATAACAGCATCATCATAGACTAGAATCCATGTTCCTACTAGCTTTCTTCGGCTTTCTGCTCTGAATTCACAGCTTCTACCTCCAAATACAATGCATCTTGCCACGCATCCATTTCCGACATCTCCATTCAGTCCTTCGACAACCTTTATTTTCCTACCTGTCCTCTGTCACACTGGGAGCAGAGTCTCTCCTCTTCTGGTAGCCAGTTCTGTCTGTGGCGACCCTTTTCTATGGCCAGGCTGTGCTCACTCAGTCTGTACATTGTCAACATTTTTCTTAATTTAGGACATTTTATTGTGGTCAGGTAATTTGCCAGTTTGAATTATCTTTTTAGGGTCAGATAACATTGTAATTTACTTTGTGTTTTGGTCGTTTCTTTTCAGTATTCAATATATTTTTCTTTTTGCTTGTTGATAATTTGGTTTGGTCTGATTGAGTTGGTGTTGCTGTCCTGAGTCTGTCCTGGGACATGTTACTGCAGAGAGCCTCAGGACCAGCTGGCTGAGGGGACTCTTCTCTGGTTTCAGCTCGTGATATGTCAGGGCTTTGTGATGGTATGTCTGGGGGTTAACTGATTTTAAGTGAAATTTAATTGATCTTTACTGTATTTTTAGTAGGGGGGTATTGGCCGAGCTCTGCTCTGCACAGATTATTTGGTGTTTTTCTCTGCACCTGCAGGATGCTCTTACAGAACTCGGTGTGGAAAGATTCTCTGATTGTTTTGTCCCATTTGTCAAATTCATTATTTAGTTTTGGTCCCCAAATTTCGCTGCCATGTAGAATTATTGGTTCTAGTACAAATTGGAAAATTTTAAGCCAGATTTTGATTGGAATATAGATTTTAATGTTTCTCTTTATTGCATAGAAAGCTCTCCTTGCTTTGTCCCTCAGATCTTTCACAGCCATGTTGAGGTTTCCTGTGTATGTAATGTTGAGGCCAAGGTAAGTGTAGTTTTTTGTATGTTATAATTTAGTGGTGTCTTAATAGAAATTCTGTGCAACCTGATTTCTGTATTTTTTCTGAAAGATCATTATCTTAGTCTTTGCTGTGTTTACTGTCAGGGCCCAGGTCTGACAAAATCTCTGCAGGAGATTAAGGTGCTGCTGCAAACCTTCTTTAGTAGGTGAAAGCAACACTAAGTCATCTGCATATAGCAGACCTCTGATCTCTGTGTCGTTCAGGGTGAGGCCAGGTGCCGTGGAACGCTCTAGTTGGTTCGCTGATTCATTGATATATAGATTGAAGAGAACTGGACTGAGATTGCATCCCTGCCTCTACTCTCTTCTCTCTCTCTCTCTCTCTCTCTCTCTCTCTCTCTCTCTCTCTCTCTCTCTCACCCCAACTGGTCGAGGCAGACGACCACCCACCTAGAGCCGAAGGGTCTGTCCTAGGTTTTTCCTTGCGCCCATTGCCAAGTGCTTGCTCATGGTGGTACTGTTGGGTCTCTGTGATTAATGTTTTAAAGAGTTCGGTCTAGACCTGCTCTATTTGAAAAGTGTCCTGAAATAACTTCTGTTGAATTGAACTAATAGCTAGCTAATCAACAACAATCGTTAGCTTGCCAGTTACATCTTTTTACAATAACAATTTTAACAAAAGTATGGGTAACTAGCAAGATAATTTACATCCACCGTTAGTTACCTTATTAGCTAACATTTTGCTTACACCTACAGTAATAATTTTGGTAACTGACATCTAGTTTAACCTTGATTGTAATGATGTCATCACAGGTTATGTCCATGACCTGAGTGAACGTGAGATTTGAGTTTGTTACCTTCCATTGTCGCACTGAAAAGGAAATCTGCCTTCCTTGAGGAATAATGAGTAGGTCTATAGTGGAGGACAATCCATATTTCTGCATGGGCTTCTCTTCAACTGCTGAATTACAATCAGATTGTCTGACATGACACCTAAGTAAATGTTCATCTTACATTCATTCACCTGGCCAAGAGGTAGCACTTATTTGATGAAGTTGACTTAAGTTCTGGGGATGGATCAATTGTTGATGTAGACTTTACCACAATTGACTTTTATAGCATTTGGAATTGTTTTTTGCATTCTCATGTGCACAGATATATTTTGCAAGACAAGGGTTGTTTGGACGGAACCTTTTCTTTAAATGGAGGAGAAAAATATAAATTTTCAAGACTACTGAAAAACGAGCTTGTTAGTTTCTGGCATGTTTGAAGTATTCAGGGGACTTAGAGAAAGCAATAATTGATAGATCTAATTAGAAGCTAAAGTGGGTAATCCGTGTTACTGAATACATTCTCCAAATAACTGTTCTAGGAGAAGTGCTGGTTGAAGAAAAGACAAACAAAGACAGAGCAAGAAAAAGGACACAACTATTCAAAGATGAAGTAACTTTTAATGAATCAGAATCATACACAGAGCCACCTTAAAAGTTCCCTACCTATCAGCTTTTTAAAAAGACATTATATAAATTGTCAAATTATTCTAATACATAGAGTTATAAATTATAGTATGAAGACAGATATACAACACGTTACCCAGAGAGAGAGAGAGAAAGAGAGCAGAAGAGAAAGACACTGACTTATTATTGAGTAATGATGGTTTTAACATATTTAGCTTATATACGTATGGGAGACATGATGCAGGAAAACACTTGCAGGAACGAGAAGAGCGAAGGAGAATGAGAATAGACAGTACATGAGACAGAAAGGTTGAATAAATTGCATGGAAAGAGAGTCCAGAGGATTATAGAAAGAACAATGAGCGTGGAAAAAATCTGAACAAAAAAGACTAGAAAATGTATGGCTGAAGAACAAAGAAAAAATAACCCTTTCCCCTCACCAAAATGGCACTAGAAGTACATAAAGAATAGAGCTCAGACTCCTTCAGTGAAAGCTTAAGGCTGTGATCATACAGGACACACTTAGCAGCATAACAAGTCTGGTTTTAATATTTGAGAGTTTTCTGCGTTTTGCACGGTGAGTTTGTCCTCCAGGAAGCTTGCATGTACTAGCATGGCATGCTTATAGTGCTTTACAATACTGTTCTGAGCAGCCAAAACTGTGTCAGGTCTGCTGTCAACAGAAGAAATCAGAAAACTGGGTCAGGTTCTTGATGGTTGTTCCAGACCTGGCTGCCTCATTTAAAGTCCTCCAGAGTCCTGATGGCTAGTTCAATTATTATGCCTGCACATGGTAACTTTGATGTTATATGTTGTTATCCCCTAAAACATTCATTACAGATGATTGGACACAAATGTGGTACCCTGCAAGACAGTCAGTAGGCTGCACATTGATCTATCACCCCTCCCTCCACACGCTGACTTTCTGCCTCCCTACAAGGAAGGACTTCTAAGGGGCCATTCACATATTGCGTTGGAAAACACCTGGAAAATGCCATCCACACAGCTTTCGTCCTTTTAACCAAGGTGCTTGGGAGGATGCACTACTATCACGCCAGTCGTTACTAAGCAAAAGTCACAACAAAGACACATGGATTACTAGCAGCATAAACCCCTTGCTTGATTTATGTAGACAAAAGAAAAAAAGCATCTTCAGTTTAACTGATCTTTCAACCCGATGTTGTTACTACCTTGCTCAGCATGTCTTATGGAGGTGATTGGTATATCCTTGTTACATGACCTGTTGTGCGCTTGCTGCGTTCTAAAAAGTTGAGACTTTACCAAAAAACAGGGTTAATTGTTAAATCACTTAGCAACAAGGTGGATTGTACAGTTAAATGGCAATGGATAAGAGTCATTCAGAAAAAATCTAAACTTGGATTATACCCCAAAGTCTGTCTATATAGTCAGTAGTGTTTGGAAATAAATAACACTCCAACAGTCAAATTCTAGCGAATAATGCAAGGCAAATTTCTGCGTCCCATTTTGTCTGATATATTAATAATGAATTCATTTTTAAGGTACATTTTGATATAACTAACTATAATATCATCAGTGCCTGACTGTGGACTTTGTTTAAATAAATTTTTTTGCAAATGCCATTAGATTTGATCACAGATTATCACTTATGTACTACTTTTAGGATATAGTTAAAGTTTCAGAATGTACAACAAAAAGTTATTTTTATAAAAAAAATTACCTACTGCAGCTTTAACTGATTCAGTCAGTCTCATGAAATACACTATTCTATTAATATGGAATACTAATTAATAATTAAATAATTACAACTAAAATTACCATCAATAGATAGTAAGTTGAAAGATTTGAAGCTCAACATGGACGAGGTTGGAAGAGGTGTTGCAATTTTGTAACTTTTTCACAACATCCTCCAGGAACCAAAAAAACCCCAAAAGAAATTGTTTTCTTAATCAATGCTTGGGTTGACAGGTCTAAGATGTCTGACATCTGACATCACCAACCCCAGGGGTGTGAGCACACACTGAACTACCATTACACAAGGCCCCTAGGACTCTGTACCACAATAATAGTGGTATATAAATACAGACTGTTTCTAAGCCATGTCCATGGAACGTGCTACACATCAGTGCAAAGTACCTGAGCAACTAGTGGGTAAAACATGTCTTCCTGGAGGACAGTCAGGAAAAAACCTTTACAGTGAGAGAAAGATGCAATGTACCATATGTGCCATGAAGTACTGACCCACCAGATGTGTGTTTTTACATTCTCATCTTTTTCCACTTTTATGCAACAGACTTTTTCTGTAGAGTTAAAGACATGAAGCTTTGAGTTGCACATAAAACTGAAGAGCTACTGAACTTTAGACAAGTTTCCTGTGCCTGCTAAAACTACATCTTCATAAATGTGAATAATTATGGAATATAACTGTTTAATGTGAATACACTTAAATCAGAAAACTGTGTGTCATACAATAGTTCTTGAAAGGGCTTAGAAAGAAAGAAGCTGGAAAAGTTCACACTCTGGGCAAGGTTTAACACAAGCACCTCTGGCTCTAAGATAACTCTGGCCCTATTTTATCCTGACATTGCAGTTTTAATTTATACATGAAAATATAATTTAGTAAAAACCCAAGGCCTCACACAGGTGTTTTGAATTTAGAAAAGCATTGGGATCAGATCTACCCGTACTATCTCCCCAGGCTTCATGGGCATTTACATCTTCATTACAGCTCCAATGCCAGGTAAAAATTTGAGTTGAGTTGAACTATTTTAACACAAAGGTGCTTTTGAGAAACTAGTTCTTAGACAGTATGAGATACATTACAATCTAACATCATTACACTGAAGAGTGTTACAGTGGCTTACATGTAGTATCTCACACCTATCCGACCACGGTAAACTTTTCACGGTCTTTTAACCCCGAGGGACAGCCCTGTCTTCACCTTTAGACAGATGAATAATACTATTATGGCTATCATTTATGATTAAAAAAAACAAAGATTTGTCATTTTGCTGTAAACTTGACTGATTTACAGTTTAGCATGGGTTTTCATGCCTTAAGCTAATGGAGTGATGAATTTTGATTGCTTCAAGACATCAGTTGTAAAAATTGAGCCATGGGGTAAATGAAGTGACCCGATGTTAAACCCAATCTTTGCTTACTGACCCAATGTTTTGCTTTTGGCAGAACACCAAACGTGTTGAGCATGTCTAGCCAATGACCCCATGCCCTAAATTGTCATCCTGGTGAGATTGGACCAATGGCATTGTCCGTGTATTTTAAAACATTATGATTCTCAGATAGTGAGTGAGGAGCAAATCTAATACATACGGAGACAGATCTGGATGCTTAGTTGAGTGAGTGAAGCTAACTATATATATTAGCAGTTTCTGGCTTCTCAGAGTAACAGTGCAAATCTGATCGGAATGAATTGCAAGGCAGGTGGCAAACTGTATTATTTATGGCACAGTTTGACATTTTGGGAAATTGTTTATAAAAACCATGCCTAGGTGAAAAGATAGATTGAGAATTGTTGTGTACTTTTTCCATTTTTGTGGGAGCTAGGCTAGCAGTTTCCTTCAGCTTCCACTCTTTATGCTAAGCTAGGTCAAACACCATTAATGGACCTAAACGGATTAAACTGATACCAGTATTTTTTCATCAGTCTCTGGCTGGCAAATGGAAACAAATAAATCCCAAAATGTTTCTGATCCTAGTACTTGCACTCTGAGGTTAATAAAACACTGGCCCGCTAACTGTACATCTTCCCTCTACTGTCCTGAATCATACATTACAATCAAATGACCAACTAAAAGTGCAATGAGTAGAAATTGTTTAAATGTCGATAATGTTTAAAAGACATTCTATGAATGGATAGTAGATGGAAGTAAATAATAACTGTAATTACAATCGGAAAGAAATATTATCAAAATATCTATTGGTTTTTACTGAACCATATAACAACACACCAAGAAGCTAAAAAATAATCAAACTCAAGAAAAGGAAATAAGTTAACACATCTCAAGATGTAGAAATTTACAGTATATACATTCTTTTTGAAAGTAACACGATTTTGTTTATTGACTGTTAGCTCCGTCGTTATCCTTTCAGTTCTCTTGTGTCTGGAATCTGACGTCATAGTGGATCCACTTATATCACACTACACAAAAAGGCTTATTTTTAAAGTAACCCTTAAAGTTTACCTTCCAGCCTATTATTGTCTTTTAATGGTGATCAGTTCTGTTCCTATCCAGTTGCAGATTATTCCAATGGCTTTGGTGCATGGCAGAGTCCACACTTTGATTTAAATAAAAAAAAAATAAAAAAATATATAGAATATGTATTTTCTTAAAACATTTAAGACGTTCTTGTCAAGCTGCAAAGTATACAAAAAAACTTTTTTCATTTTTGCTTTTTCCTCCAGGGGTAATTTTTTCTGTATAATTTTCATAATTTTATTAGTTTTTTTGAGGGTTTTTTACACAGAGTGCTGAAAGTAGGTTTGTTTGTAAGAAAGGAAAGTTTGTAGCTAGTGTACATTTTTAAGCATGTAAACAAAATGTAAAAGTGCTCTTATTTTGAAAGACTATTTTTTGAGTTCCGAGTGTTTACAAAGAAGTAGGAGGCACTTAGGTCCATCTCTATGGCGACAGACAGTCACTTAGGCCATAATTCCAGGCTCAGGATTGGAAGGTCTGGTCAGGTTCTTGCAGACGTAAAGAGCTCAGGGGGCTAACATGAGGCCAGGACTAGAAGGTGTATCTATGAAGGTTTTGCAGATGAAAACTATAAAAGTGGGCTGACATTGGACTAGCACTTCAGAACACAATGACTGCTTTCAAGACATATTTGTTTTATGCAGACTGTCCTTTCTTGTTGACCAACTTCCTTAATGTTTGATGAACAGTTTCAAAGAATGCAATCTGTCACACAGATGGTTATGTGAACAGTGCATTCCCTTAACATTATACCTGAACTACCCGGTCTCTTATTTTTTGATAGCTCTCTAGAATCTGGTGGTTTACTTTGTCAGCATTGTGGCCTCTTTCTTTGACGTTTGTATCATGGCAATTCTTGTCGGAGCCACAAGAATGTTGCTTGTTTCAGGAGTAGTCGTGCTAGAAAAGGTTCCACGATGGTTTTTAATACGAACCACAAGTCAAAGATTATGATCACCACTTTGGGATGAAAAATTCCATCAGAAGCAGACAACTGTTTCACTCCTGAAATGTAGGTAATTAAATAGAAATAGATTTAATTAACACACATTTAGTACTTCAAAACTGTAGGGAGTCATCATGATGATATTATAAAGATGTTCCAAAATGTTTGCCATGAACACTCTCAAGTTATATATAAGGGACAGTCCAATCTGGTCAAGTAATAATGGCAACTCAAGATGTGTAAAATTCTAGGCAAATAATCCAACTGTTTTAGTGAAAGGGCGATTTACTGTGTGATGAGCAGACAGAAATACAACTCAAATCAGGGCTAGCAAGTAAGATCATTCTAATTTAGGATTCATGAAATTAAGCTAAATCGAGCTAAACCACATCTAAAATGAAATATTTGAAATTTTGTCAAACTAGGCCAGGCTCTACTAGACTAGATCAGGCTTTATCAAGACTTGGGTAGAACCAAAGCTGCACTAATTTAGACAAGGTGAAATGAGGAAATGATGGTACCTAAATTATTAGGATAAGAAACCATACCAGACCAGTACAATCAGGTCAATCCAGTTCAGTCCAGTTTGATCGAATCCATACTTCATAGTCAAGTATTTTTAGCCATGAGTTAATTCAAAAAGGAGCAAGACTGGACCACACAAGCCTGGACCCAACCATTTAAGTAAGATCCAAGACATTTCCTTCAATTATAATGTGATACAATCCAATGTAATCCCGTTCATTCCGATCCAGTTAAACACTTCACTTTAGACCGTTCATCCGGTCCTTACATGTCAGGCAGTTGGAAGCAAGGTACAGTCCATCCCTAATCCCTCTTCACATGGTTTCATGGTTTCACTGGACTGTGCTGTGAGTCCAGGCTAGACTTCCACTCCAAGGCAATCCATTTCCTTTTGATCCAGTGAACTAATTTCTAGTCCAGTAATGATCTGGTCCAACCTAAAATACATTCCATTCCTTTCCTCTCGTATCCATTTCTATCCAAGTATATCCAGATAGACTGGTGTGGCTTTCATCAGAGTAAACAGCATCTTCTGGATGTCCTTAATGTTGAGGCGCTGTTGTGGCTCCCTCTGCCAACAGCCCAGCATAATATCGTAGACTTCTTTGGGACAGAGCCTGGGGCGCTCCAGTACCCTGCCTTGAGTAATGCACTCTATCACCTGGGAAGACAGAGAGACATAGTTAAAGAATACACAAATACTGCCTTTTGCAAGAAAAGCTTTAGTTAAGCAAGTATACATCACATGTAAAGTGCAACACAAAGTGCTGCACCATTTGACAGGTACATGTAGCAGACACTGGAACGACTGAAGAAGTAGTCATGGTACAGTAGTTAGGATGTCTCAGTCTACGGAGGGAATGGGATAAAACTGCTGCTTTTCTGAGAGTTGACACATTGATGCTGGGAAATAAGTCTGTAGCAGATCTTGATACACTTAAATCTAGTAGCATTGAAATTAACCTAACATACACGGCTGTGGCTCAGAGGCAGAGCGGGTCGTTCCCTAATCGGAAGGTTGTGGATTCGATCCTCTGCTCCTGGTGCCACATGACGAAGTATCCTTGAGCAAGATACTGAACCCCAAATTGCTCCCGATGCTGTGCATCGGTGTGGGAATGTGTATGAATATTAGTTTCTGTTCGATGGACTTTGCCATCACCGTGTGAATGTGTGTGAAAGGGTGAATGTGGCACGTAGTGTAAAAGCGCTTTGAGTGGTCAGAAGACTAGAAAGGTGCTATACAAGTACAGGTCCATTTACCATTTACCATTTACATGTTTTAAAGGAGCATTTCACCTGTGGAAACATTAATCTTATTGAAAGTGGGTTATATATGTAGTCGAAATGTAACATAAATTTCGAATTTGGTGCCTATTTGACCGAGAAAAGACAGAAAGTGACTTTAGAGCACATTTGTATGGAAGACAACAACTCCCACAATGCACAGCTCCGCAAGCCACTCCCACTAACACTACCAAGGACTACAACAACGTGAATGTGAACCATTTATTTACAGAAATATATCAGCAACAACAAAAATAAATATGTTAACAATGACAGTTGTAGTTCCTCCTTAGCGTCCTCAACTTCTTGGTGCCCGCAGTACTGGCCATCTGGAGCTGGATGTTTCTGTCGGATAGCCTGCACCACATCAGCGGGTAAAACGACACGATGGCCTCGACCCAATCTCTCGCCTTGCAGGACCCATTCCAGAAAGGCTGTTAGGCGATATTGTCTACAAGACATTGAGCACACAGTTAGCGATACGTGGTCTTTGTGTTTAGCGTGCCACAGTAGTTAGCAATGCAACTGCAAGCTGTTTGTGCAGTAAAGAAGTTAGTTCAGTTGGCTGACGTTACGTATTAACCGGGAATAACTTTGTGATAATGCTTGAACAAATTGTGTACATACATGCCACGTTGTTATAAGAAAGAAAATAGAAAGACTCACTTTACAGTCAGACGTCCGTGTGTCCGTAGGCGCACAGTGAGAGCACAAGCACCAGCAGTCCGCCCCAGCTCGAGCCACTCCGGGCTCCTCGTCCGCGACAGGCAGGTCCTCTGCCTCGGCGGCAGCAGCCTCAGCCGCCTCCTGTTCAGCCTCAGCTGCTCTTTGCTATATTGCGGCTCATAAAGGTAGCCACGAACACCTGATTCGACCATCAGACTTTCGAAATCCTCTTCTTCCATATGAGATTGATTACCTTCTACCATAGTCGTAACGTCTGGCTCGACAGCGCCTCCAAACTTAGCTTCCAAACAAGATGGTGGTTATATTTTTTAGTTTCTGCAAGTGAAGTCCCACCCACTGATCTGTAATAGGTCTGTAGCGTGAGTGAAAAAAAAATGAGGAAGTAGTGTTTGTAGTCTCACCCCCTCTACAGAGATATGAGACGATTTTTGCATCATTGGAAGCAGGAACTGCAACACTGAAATCCATATTTCTCCAGTCTCAGGGAAAAATGAGGGAATGATGCACAACCATTCAAAAATATGACTGGGTTTCTAATGATACAAAGCTTAATGCAAATGGGTGAAGTGTCCCTTTAATGGTTTTGAGTCAGTGATCAGCACTGTTGCCTCACAGCAAGAAGGTCCTGGCTTTGATTCCAGGCTGGGGCAGGGCCTTTCACATGTGTGGAGCTTGCATGTTGTGTGAGCTTCCTCCGAGTGCTTTGGTTTCCCCCACCATCAAAACATGTATGTTAGGTCGATTCTCTAGTCAGTGCTCTTGACCAAGGCACTGGCTCCAGAGTCGGTTCCTCACACGGTGGCTGCCCACTGCTCCTGGTACTTACAATGGGTCAAATGAAGAGAATGAATTTCACTATCGGGATCAATAAAGGATAACTAAAGAACATGTACATTCCCCAGCTGGGAATCCAGGACCTTCTTGCTATGAGGCGACAGTGCTAACCACTGAGCCACCATGTTGCCCATTTACTCAAATCAATTAAATTTCAGTTTTATTTTTATAGCACCAAATGAATGAACATAAGTTATCTCACGACACTTTTTACATAAAGCACGTCTAGACCGTACTCCTTATAGATACATAAAAACATTATTTGTATTAGGGTAGGTGATAATGGCAATGATGAAAATAACTTCATATCTGCTGCTCTCCACTGTCAAAGAGGGTCTATTATATTTTCCTAATGCTTAGCACTTTTTGCAAGAGCTCCATTTCCCCTTTGTTTTCCTCTGTGCAGTCATTTAAAAAGCCTCTTTCCACATGGAAATGTCTTCCCTCGGGCCATTAAACCAGGAATTGAGGGTAGAAACAGAAACTTTGTTATACTGTTATGCAAAGTTGTACATGTTTGTCATTATAGTCTAAAATGTTACAGAAAGAATCCACTGCAATGTTTACAAGCATTACTTTTGCTTTTGAGCATTTATCTGACTTTCAGTCGTTAATTATTGATATTATAGAATAAATATAGTAAGAAATAGCCATCATAGCAAAAAACATTTTTAGCTATATGTCATCTGAAAAAAATAAATACAATTTCTCTACCTCTGCAGCCTTAAAAAGTGTTTACTTTTGTGCTTTTTCCCACACTTACATGACTCACTCTGACTGCATTTGAACTTTTTAATTCATAACCGAAGTTATCTCAGGACACTGCAAATAAAGCAGGTCTAGACCGTAGTCCTTATAAAATTTATTTACAGAGACCCAACAGTTCCCACCATGAGCAAGCACTTGGCGACGGCGGCAAGGAAAAACATCCTTTTAATAGGCAGAAACCTCGGACAGACCCCGGCTCTAGGTGGGTGGCCGTCTGCCTCGACCAGTTGGGGTGAGAGAGAGAGAGAGAGAGAGAGAGAGATAGAGAGATAAACAGAGTAAAGCAAATTTTAGCACAATGTAAAGAAAGCTATCTGGACCATTGGGAAGAAACAACTAAAAGCCAAAGTAGATTGGAATGTTATCTTGCCCTTAAAAGAGATTATGAATAAGCAGAATATCTCTCTACTGTCAGAGATAGAAAGCAGAGACAGATCCTAACCAAGTACAGGCTCAGTGACCACAAATTGGCAATTGAAACAGGAAGACACAGAAAATCATGGCAACCAAAAGAAAACAGAAAATGTGGTCACTGTTCAACAGGTGAGGTTGAGACAGAGATGCACTTTCTCCTACATGTACAAAATTAAATAATACTAGAAAAATTTATTTGAACAAGTTCAGCTCTTTGATACCAGATTTCAAAGAGCTGAACGACCTCTCCAAATTAAAAATACTCCTCGGAGAAGGAGAGCGGGCACACCTTGCTGCCCAGTATATATTAACATGCCACAACCTGAGGGACAGTGAGTGATCAAGGCACACGCACACACAGACACACACACACACGCACACACACACACACACTGCATATAACTAATATAATGTTCATATAATAATAATGTATATATCTTTGATTTATTGTATTGTATTTGAATACTTTGCTTTGCCAATATTGTTTTTAAAAAACTTTCATGCCAATGAAGCCCATTTTGAATTTGAATTGAATTTGAATTGAGATAGAGAGAGAGATAGATAGACAGAGAGAGAGGAAGAGAGAGAGAGAGAGAGAGAGAGAGAGAGGTAAAGACAGAAGGACAGAGACAGAGACTAAGGTGCAAAGCAACAACAGAAGCAACAACTACACTAGTAGTAGTGACATGGTATCAGCCATGACATGACCACTCCACATTAAAGAATATGTCTTTGCCAATGTCATTACAGAATCCAGTGTTTCTACAATCAGTTCCATTCATTCAGTCACAGCAATCCCTGGCATTATGTTACCTTACATTAAGATGAGTTCCACATTGACAGTATGTAATTAGCCGACAGAGCCTCTAGGTGAATTAAAGTGTTTTAAACCTGTATTCTTTCTAATGGCCAGTAGGGCCATCCATCATTCATACAGCATGATGTTGATTTTGTAAATGATGGTCCTATTTAGAGTAAAATGGAGGATAAAGCAGCGTATGCTTTAGGGCGTGGCTACCTTGTGTGCTACCTCAGTGAGTCTGTCCAGCTCAATGCACCAAACTCAGATCAAACTGTCACACACTAGGTAGTACTGATCAAAAATGAATCAGTATTCTGTTCATATGTTGACTTTTTCTCTCCTCAAATATTTTTTACAAACATATTTTAGTTTATCTGTAATACTAGAATGTGTGTGACAAGTCGTCATTGTTTCCTGGGGCATCCACTTCAATCTCTGCTTGTGGACATTAACGATACCTGTATGAGTTGCTAAAATTGTGGCAGTCCAAGTGTTAAAAGCCTTACAGTGGTTCAAAGGGTACAAACACTCCTTATCTGAAACATCTGCAGCAAGTGTTCATTTACATGGACAGTAGTCCAAAAGTTTTTATTGTACTTTCCAGGAAATGTGTTGCCACAGTCTGTACATAATCCCATATACTGTATACACACACAACATTAACACAAGATAGACATCTAAACACAGAACATTTGTACATACATTCAGGTATTTACACATAACGGCTACCAGGGAGTTTTGTTGAGTAAAGCTATGGCAGAAGAATCAGAAGAAACTCCTGCCATAGCAAGCTCGTTTACAGGCCAATGATCTGTATCTGCGCCTGGATGGGACCAATGTGAAAAATTGAGGGGGTGTCTGGGGTCGTGAGCTATGATGTGTGCTCTGCCTGTGATGGCTTTGCTTTTTCATTTACGTACAGAACGCTGCAGCACGAGTACTGACAGGAACTAGGAAAAGAGATCATATCTCTCCTGTATTAGCGTCTCTGTACTGGCTCCCTATAAAATTCAGAATCTAATTTAAAATCCTCCTCCTCACCTACAAAGCTCTCATGGTCAGGCCCCTTCATATCTTAAAGAGCTCATAGTACACTATTACCCCTCTAGAACACTGCACTCTCTGAATGCAAGGCCACTTGTGGCAGAGCAGAGAAGCTAGTACAGGAGAAATATGATCTCTTTTTCGTAGTTCCTGTCAGTACTCGTGCTGCAGTGTTCTGAATTAATTGGAGTGTCTTAGTGGACTTACTGGGGCAGCATGATAATAAGGAGTTGCATTAATACAGCCTACAAGTAACAAATCCATGGATTAGTTTTTCTGCCATGCATTTGTGATCAAGTTATAAAGATATATTGTTTCTGTACTTTATATACATATGGATATTTTTTTTGTTTTTTGTTTTAATCAGAAGGTTGGCGGTTCCATCCCCGGCTCCTCCTGCATCATTTTGACGTATCCATGAGCAAGATACTGAACCCCAAATTGCTCCCAATGCTGTGCATCGTTGTTTGAATGTGTATGAATGCCCTTAGTTTCTGTTCTGGTGAGCAGTTAGTACCTTGCATGGCAGCCTCTGCCATCAGCGTATGAATGAATGTGTGCGGATGGGTGAGTGTCTAAGACTAGAAAGGAGCTATGTAATTATAGTCCATGTACCGTTTAACTTTATTATACACCGATCAGCCATAACATTATGACCACCTGCCTAATTTCCCAATTTCCCTTCGGGGATTAATAAAGTCTATCTATCTATCTATCTATCTATCTATCTATCTATCTATCTATCTATCTATCTATCTATCTATCTATCTAATATTATGTAGGTCCCCCTTTTGCCGCCAAAAGTTGTGAGGTGGGGCCTCCATGGATCTGACTCATTTGTCCAGCACATCCCACAGATGCTCGATTGGATTGAGATCTGGGGAATTTGATGGCCAAGTCAACTCCTTGAACTTGCTGTTGTGTTCCTCAAACCTCATGCTGTTTGCACTGTTTGCATGAAAGACTGTACATGGTCTGCAACAATGCTTAGGTAGGTGGTACGTGTCAGCATCACACTCTGATGACCTGCAATTTTCTGATGTTAAACTCAGAAAAAACCGAAATTCTTGTTCTTGGCCCCAAAAACCTTAGAGACTCATTGTCTAAAGATATAGTCACTCTAGATGGCATTAACTTGGCCTCTAGCACCACTGTCAGGAATCTTGGAGTTATCTTTGATCAGGATTTGTCATTTAACTCCCACATAAAGCAGACCTCTAGGACTGCCTTCTTTCATTTACGTAATATTAGAAAAATTAGACACATTCTATCACAGACAGATGCAGAAAAACTAATCCATGCATTTGTTACTTCAAGGCTGGATTACTGCAACTCTTTATTATCAGGTTGCCCCAATAAGTCCATTAAAACGCTCCAATTAATTCAGAACGCTGCAGCACGAGTACTGACAGGAACTAGAAAAAGAGATCACATCTCTCCTGTACTAGCTACTCTGCATTGGCTCCCTATAAAATGTAGAATTGAATTTAAAATACTCCTCCTCACCTATAAAGCTCTTCATGGTCAGGCCCCTTCATATCTTAAAGAGCTCATAGTACCCTATTACCCCACTAGAACACTACGTTCTCTGAATGCTGGGCTACTTGTGGTTCCTATAGTCTCTAAAAAGTAGAACAGGAGCCAGAGCCTTCAGTTACCAAGCTCCTCTCCTGTGGAACCAGCTTCCAGTTGTGGTTCGGGAGGCAGACACCCTCACCACTTTCAAGAGTAGGCTTAAGACATTCCTCTTTGATAAAGCTTATAGTTAGGGCTGGATCAGGTGAGTCCTGAACCATCCCTTAGTTATGCTGCTATAGGCCTAGACTATCGGGGGATTTCCCATGGTGCACTGAGCTACTCTCTTCCTCTCTCTTTCTGCACTCATTCATGTCCCTTTAATGCATGTTACTAACTCCACTTCTTCCCCGGAGTTCTTGTGCTTTCTCGTCTCGCAGGTTCTCATGGATCCTGGTGGAGCCTCCTGCCATGGTCCTGCTTGACTGCCATTGCCAATACTGTTGTTGCTGTGCACCTGTCTGTCTGTCTGTCGCTCTCTCTCTCTCTCTCTCTCTCTCTCTCTCTCTCTCTCTCACCCCAACTGGTCGAGACAGACGACCACCCACCTAGAGCCGGAGGATCTGTCCTAGGTTTCTGCCTTTTAACAGGCAGTTTTTCCTTGCCCTTGTCGCCAAGTGCTTGCTCATGGTGGTACTGTTAGGTCTCTGTAATTAATGTTAAAGAGTTCGGTCTAGACCTGCTCTATTTGAAAAGTGTCCTGAGATAACTTCTGTTATGAATTGGCGCTATACAAATAAAATTGAATTGAATTGAATTGAATTGAATTGATTCATCAGACCAAGCCACCTTCTTCCATTTCTCCGTGGTCCAGTCCTGATGCTCACGTGCACATTGTAGGTGCTTTTGGCAGTGGAAAGGGGTCAGCATGGGCACCCTAATTGGTCTGCGGCTATGCATCCACATACGCAACAAACTGTGATGCACTGTGTGTTCTGACACCTTTCTATCCCAACAAGTTTTAATATAATTAACAGCATAAGCTCATCTGTTGGATCGGACCACACAGGCCAGCCTTCGCTCTAATCCAGTTGTCTAGCCATCACAATTTGGACCTTGTCAAAGTTGCTCAAAGTTTCTTACACATCAAATTTGAGGGCAGAATGTTCACTTATTGTTTACTAATATATCCCCACCACTGACAGGTGCCATGATAACCAGATAATTAGTGTTATTCACTTCACCCGTCAGTGGTCATAATGTTGGCTGATTGGTGTATTATGGTTTTAGAAATGTATATTCATTTTAGGCCTTTTCGAAATATAAATTTTAACCCATGCCCTTTTTGGGGGACAGTGGGACTGGCTTCTTTTCATTTTCAACTATTTCCCATACTCTAGGAAACAGATCACTTAAGTGAGGCCACATGATAAGCCTATATCCAATGTCAGGCTTGTCCAATGTCCAAGTCCAATGTAGAGTGCCCACACTATCCTGCATTTCTTTGATCTGATATGTTTCTTACTTCCCAATTAAATAAATTATATAAATTATTATTGTAAAACAACAATAAAATAAATCATGTGTGTCCAGTCTTCTAAAAGCATTTCTTCACTCTCTAGATGGTATGACATCATCTAATTTCATCATCTCATCTTCATCCGCTTTAGACGGTATGACAGCTGCTGCAATATCACACCTTTTCAAAGTGCACTTAAACTGAAAACACAGGAGAGACAGACATGTTCTCTTAGCTGAAATCACGCAGGGGAATCCAGATAAGAGCTTTTATCTTTACTAATTTCCCTCATGATATCTATACAACTGACAAAAAATGCATTTGGGCACATGAGCAATGAGAAGGGGATTCTTGGTGGCCACATCACATCACCTGTAATCCGTAATATTTTGTTCTTTAAGTGTGATGTTCACTTTTCTGTACAGGTGAGGAATGTGCATTTCTGCATGCACACAACCCAGTCCAATTCTGAAAGTCAATAGTGACCTATTGCAAAACCAGGATTGACAGAGATCTCATTTGTATTTTAAATAATACAGCAGAAGCCATGGTTTGCATGAATATCAGAACAGAACCTATGATGTCTTCAAAGGACACCTCATAAAAATCAGATTCTACAATGTTGTAAACTGTAAAGAATAGTGTTTGACAGGTTGATCTCTGAGATTTTTCCAACTCAAAAACTTGCTTGAAATTACAACCTAAAGTTTTTGTTTTTTTGTTTCCCCAGAGAACAACCAGACATTAATGAATCTGCTGGAATTTAGTCTTGTTGCTTAGTGCCTACTGATTCAACTATTACTACCAGGTGCTGAACTTGCTGCCTTTCTGGTCCATCATCTGTTTTGGAACAAAAGTGCATACTCACTAAAATGTCAGGAGTCTCCCTACACTCACGCAGTGTCAGAACATATTTCCCCCACAAAGACGAAACACCCCAGTGCTTCAAGTAAAATGTGAATGTAATTGTCTTTTTCAAGTAGTATTCCTATATATATATACAAGATCACGCGAGAATCCATCTTGCCAGGCTTAAATCTAGCGTTTAGTTATTTTGCCTAAAAACAGTAAAGTCTGAAAATGATCAGAATCAGCTTTATGTTGAATATGTGTGAAAAATGTCATATCATTAAACCCCAAATTCCAAGAAATATTTACAAGGTTTTAATACAATTTTAATAAACTGGAATTTTCCACTAACCGAGTTTCTATTGGTTGGTAATAATAAAAGTTCAAAATTAATGCAGACTTATACCATACATATATATGCATAAGTGACAGTGTACCTCATTATTGGCGAGCTGGAACCATGGCTGTTTGCCGTAAGTAAAAATCTCCCATAGGATGACTCCAAAACTCCACACGTCACTCTCTGTGGTGAACTTCCTGTACATGATGCTCTCTGGGGGCATCCAGCGGATAGGCAGCATCGTATGACCTCCCACCTGAACACACACACACACACACACACACACACACACACACACACACACACACAAACATAGAAGAAAGAAGTTTTAAAGAGGAATGTGAAAATGTGTTGTGCATATATTACACAATGCTTTATCTCATATATCCTTATGTGCCAAACTGCAACATTTTGCAGATTCCTGTATATCCTTTATACATATTTTCCTATGTTTATTGTTATGCACCAATAAACCAAGGCAAATTACTATACCGACCAGTAGATATTGTTGCAGATCCGTTCTGGATGAATATTTTGTGAATTTACAGATATGTTCATTAAAAAGTTTCTTCATAGTGTTAGTGTATTGGCTATGTTGAATACTGCTGTTTTAGAAAACACCAATTTTTGGAAGTCTGCAGATATTTTCCATTACCCTTTACAACCAAGGATCTCACAAATGATAAAATACACCGAAAGGTTTTTTAATATACTTTGAAAAAAATAGTATATTGGAGCCAGAGATTTTTCCTCTGACATAAGTAATATAATATATTGGAGGCCATCTGCTGCTTCTGATTATTGCACATGACGTACAGTATATCACCCATAGTGTTCATCATATGCTGTGACTCATTCAGGCCTTGTACAGGTCAGGGCAGTGATGGCTGCAGTTATGAATGACAGTGAATATAAGTTTATGAATGGATTGTACAGAGGCTACACTGCAGTTTGTGAGGACAAAAGATATTTTATACAATTTATTAAATGTTGTAACAACCAATATAGGGCTGTTTCTGTTTCCTTCACAATAAGATAAGATGAAGAATACCTTTATTGATCCTCCGTAGGAGAAATTCAAGTTAGACACAGCAGCATAGGGGAATGTAGTGCAAAGAGTACAGAGAAGAGTACAATAAGAATCACAATATAAGAATATTAACTAAATATAATAGAAGATTAAAGACTATAAATGAAAAATATATATACTATATGCAAAATGCAGTAAAATGGTTTGCAATGGGTTGCATTTTTTCTTTTTTTCTTCTTTTTTTTTTTTTAAACTAAAATAAACTGTACATGTGCAAACTTAAGGATTAAAGACAAATAGTAAATGGTAAATGGTAAATGGACCTGTACTTGTATAGCGCTTTTCTAGTCATTCGAAGCACTTTTACACTATATGGCACATTCACACTTTCACACACATTCACTCAGTAATGGCAAAGCCCATCGAACAGAATCTAACTCATTCATACACATTCACACACCGAAGCTAGGCGTGTCTCCTCGCCACCAGCTTAAATAGTCCTCTGCTGAGACCTGGCAGGGTAATACCCACAGGCTAGAGGATCGGACCCTTTAAATGGAGAGCTGGTCCAGTACCACCTATATGGGGGTAACTCGGGATCTAACAATACATATGTATATATACATTTAATTTCTTACATTACATTAATAATAATAATAATCTTACATTAATATTATACCTGTGCTGTACATTCATAGCCTATATTCCCTCTAAACTACATTGCTTAGTATTATTCTGTGCAATTATTTAGTTTTACACCATGCCACTACCTCTTGCTGTGACCTGTGCAACATTCCATATCAATCAATTTTCTATTTCTTGTATTTTTTTATTCTATTTTTATTTAGTGTGTATTTCTATTGTGTTGTGCTTTATCTGGAGCAAGTGAATTTCCCAAGTGTGGGATCAATAAAGTCTATCTTATATTATCTTGTTTGGATGTTTGGTTTATGTTCACTTGTAGAAAATCCCCACGTATTTTCTTTTTTTTCCCGTTAGAGGTGCAAACACAAAAACGTGGTTACACATGACAAAATCAAGGTTTATGATTACAAATATCATGCCTTAATTGGTTGACAAAGTTGATTTTCTTCAACAAAGTCACAAATATACATTTTACATTCATTTTACATGTTAAGTATCATATTGAATGATATTTACAATCAAACAACATATTATTGTAAGTTGTGTTGAAAGCATTTGATATACTGTAACTCTTTATATGTTTTTCATTTCTGTATCATACTATATTTAATCATTAGTCACTATGGGGTTATTCATTTAACCCAGTACATACATAAAATGTTTTTAAGGTCTGCACAGTGGAAATACTGAACCAAGAAAGCAAAAGCCACAGATTAAAAGTATTAAGTATTTTCCTCCATTCCTCAAGCTTATTTGTTGCGAGCTTATTGTAATTACTAAAAGTGACCAAGATGAGCAATGCAACGTTTATATCAGCTCCTCATTCAGTCAACATTCCTTTGTCGATTTTAAAAAGAGCATCATCTACATACAGTTGAGTATCGTAATGTTTTGTTTTGTGATATTGCATCAATTCTCAAAAACACTTTTTGTTTAACCCCCCAACTGTTAGATAGCAGTGTTGTAAACATAAACATATCAGCCAATGCAAAATGATTGTAAAAGGAAATCACTGTCAGTCAGTCTCATTAGCCAACAGCTTTTATGGTCAAGCTGTTTCAGGATCAACAAAATGCCTGTGTGCTAATTAGCTTCCCCAAGTTAACAGCTATATTCTTTTAGATTGTGTGTAATGAAAGAATTACCAGTTTACCTACAAATTGGTTACACCATTTCATTATGAGTTTGTAAATATAAAACTGTATACTAAAAAATTATAATATTGATCCAATAAATCCTTTTCACACAGCGTGTAAATCAGACAGTGAGTGAATCATCATTTATTTGCTCTCGCCTACTCTCTAACTGCTGTGAAATCATACAGCAGCTTAACTAATTCAGTCAAATATGTGCCTCCTAATCAAGGTTCAAATAATGAATGACCTCTAGTGTGCCACTGACAAATTGTCCTCCTGCACTCCTCATCTCCCATTTCCCCTACATTGATACAGGACAGAATAATATATAGGATGAGTCAACGTATTTGTTAAATATAATCCAGTAACATTGCCAACATGCAAAACAAAGATAAATATAAATAAAACACATGTAATATTGTTTGATATTTTAGATTAGCATATAATATATAATGTAAATTGACCTGTACTTGTATAGCAACTTTTTAGTCTTCCGACCACTCAAAGTGCTTTTACACTACATGCCACATTCGTCCTTTCACACACATTCACTCAGTGATGGCAAAGCCCATGGAACCGAAACTAACGCATTCATACACACTCACACAACGATGCACAGCATCGAGAGCAATTTGGGGTTCAGTATCTTGCTCAAGGATACTTCAACGCATGGAGCCGGGGATCGAACCAACAACCTTCTGATTAGTGGACAACCCACTCTGCCTCTGAGCCACAGCCGCCCCGCAAATGTAAAATTAATTATGGTATTCTGGTAATTATAAGGTTTAGGATAATTTAGGTGATATGAGCACACATACCAATCATAGGTCAAAACATTACTAAATCTAACAACATTTTAAGCCAGACGTTGTACTGAATGAGGAGTCGTTTGGGCATCGAAATAGCTAACTCTTCTGACTGGGTTGAGCCAAATGATTTGGCTCACACATAAAGAGCCAGAATTGTAGGGCCAGTGTAATCTTCTTTGCTGTGTTTTGCTGGGGAGGAGGCATCGGGACTAGGGGTGCCAACAAGCTGAGAAAGCTGGTGAGTAAGGTCAGCTCAGTGGTGGGGATGGAGCTGGACAGTGTGGAGGCTGTGACGGAGAAGAGGATGAAAGGGAAGCTGAAAGCCATCATGGACAACCCCTCTCATCCTCTCTACACTGAGCTCAGACAGCTCATGAGCACTTTCAGCCACAGACTGACCCAGCCCTGAGCCTCAAAGCAGTTTGGAGGCTCATTTGTACCATCAGCCATCAGACGCCACAATGCTACCCAGTACCTAGACTACCCAGTACTTCCAACCCCTAGTAACCCTAACCCTAAGACTGGTTTAAATTCTAACCTACAACTCACAAACCTTTTGCACTATCTATATTATATTATATCTATATTTAATTTCCACATGTACATTTTTAGTTTTAGTCAAGCTGCTCAATATTTGCACACCATTCTTACTTGAATATGCATAGTGTATATACTTTCATTTATTGTCTTATATTTTTTATTATATTTTGTAATATTTTATTTTGTGATATCCTGTTGTACCTCCACTGTTGTACTCTCTTTTGCACTACATTGCCCTACGCGGCTGTGTCAATCTTGAATTTCTCCTAAGGGGGATCAATAAAGGAACATCTTATCTTACATCTTATTTTATCTTAATTCCCATCGCAAAGCAAATTTTCTATTTCCTTTTTGACAAAAGATAATTGTGTAGTTGTGGGGGCAGCCATCACCGGATAATATTATTCACTGTGGCTGGGTTACAGCAGGCTGGCTAACCTTAGCTTGCTTTAAGTAGTGAGCAGAATCTTTGTAAATTATCAAAAACCAGCTCAGTGTTCAAAACTGACTGACTACACTGTAGCTTATTTTTTTTTTTTTAATCTGGGAACCCAATGGGGAACAATCACAAACATATGGGAGAAAGGTGTGTACTGTCTAACCCTGAAGTCCTTGATGACTTGGATAATTCAGACATACCGCTGAACTGCAATCTGCTCAGTCTGAGCTGCAGATAGAGTTCAATTTCAATTTTATTTGTATAGCGCCAATTCTGTAATGAATTGTTGAATTGAATGAATTGAGTTATCTCAGGACACTTTTCAAATAGAGCAGGTCTAGACCGAAATATTTAAAACATTATTTACAGAGACCCAACAGTACCACCATGAGCAAGCACTAGGTAACAAGGGTAAGTAAAAACTGCCTGTTAAAAGGCAGAAACCTAGGACAGATCCTTCGGTTCTAGGTGGGTGGTCGTCTGCCTCGACCAGTTGGGGTGAAAGAGAGAGAGAGACAGAGAGAGAGGGAGAGACAGACAGGTGCACAGCAACAACAGTATTTGTAATGGCAATCTAGCAGGACCATGGCAGGAGGCTCCACCAGGATCCATAAGAACCTGCGAGACGAGAAAGCACAAAAACTCCGGGGAAGAAGT